CCGCTGGAAGAGCTCAGGCTAGATCTTAACCGTATGATAAAGGAAATCAAATCTTTTTTTTTTAAAGATACTTAAAGAGTTCTAGAACCCATAGGAGGAAAGACAGCGTTCTTAGTAAGTGACAACAAGGCTGTAGAGTAGCCACGTGTCCTGTGTTCTTTTTCTTCTCAGGATCGTCCGCCCTCTTGTTAAAGTAGCTGTCCTGGGAAATCTGTAAATCTTCCTGGGTCATTAAAAGTCGAGGCTTTAGTTAGCCGACTAGTTTCTACACCACTCCAAGACAATGCATTTACACGCAGTTCGCCCCCTCGCCCCCAGTGTCGTGAGATATCATTCCCTCCTCGGCGTGCCCGCATTTTCTACAGCGGAGGTGTCAACCCTACACGGCTGTGCGACTTTACCATCCGAACCTTCGGATCGCGTCACCTTCGGTCACGTGCTCGACAGAGTGTCTGGCCCTTTAGCGAGTCGTCCGAGTTAATTGCGCGCGGAGTGATGGCAGGAGCATTATCCTCGTCACGGCAAAGCAAAGAGGTTGGACGCAAGGAGAAGCGGGCCGCTCCGAGGAGACGCCGCCTGTGCTCCCGGGGCACTTTGTGTAAACAGGGCACAGGCCGGGGAGGGAGGAGAAACCCTTCTACGAAAACAAAGTCCGCGCCGTGCATTCGTTCCCCACCGCCCCCAGGCCTGGCTTTCTCTGGGTCGGATTTTCCTCCCTCCCAAGGTGTTTTTGCTGAATTGCTAAAACGCTCAAACAAGGCAGGCCGCGGATTTACAAGGCAGAGGCAAGAATGCTGCACGGATAACAAAGATCCCCCGTATAGCCTTCACAGACTGTAGGGGCAAGTGCTATTAGCGGGCACCTATGAAAGCCGGAACGGTACACGAGGGGGGTGGGTGGCCAGCACCACGCCCGACCGCCTTAGTCTCCCCAGTGGTAATGTTTTTTTGATCCACCGCACCAAGTACTCATTTGAGGCTGAGTCGACCTAGGGGAGGCCCGGGACCGGTTCAGATAATCGTCACTGGTGGTGTTGGCCGTGAGCGGGAATCGAACCCGGGTCGCCAGGTTCATAGCGCAGCGTAGCGCTAACCGCTACACTACCGCTCCCCACGCACAGATAACAAACACACAGAGACACGCACGGCACGCGCACACACGAAGAAAGAGATTACGCCTTTTGGGGCTGCACGGATTGTTGGGGCAATTGTTGTGGTTGTTGTTAGCGAGCACCTAAGAAGAGGAGTACACGAAGCTATAGTGGCGCCATACCCTGGCTTGCCAGGAGAAGGTGGTACAGCAAATGTGGGCTTCAATTGTACCGTCTGTATGGGATAGAGTGTTGCCCCCTCGCACGCGTGGCTTCCTCACACAAACACGAATTAATTTGCCAATAACACCTTAACATATAGAGGACCGCAGAGCTTGTTAGGGTGGTGGAATTTGTCGCTGGCTCACCCTATTCCTCGTGCTTCTGAGTCGTTCTCTCTCTCTGAAAATGAATGGTGCCACGTTGGCGAGATGTTAACTACCTCGCCTGGTTTGCAGGAGGTCGTGGGTTCGATCCCAACCTTGACGCCTGCTGTGTATTTGAAGTTTGCGGTGTCGCTCTCCCCGTGCCCTCCACATTTAGAATCATGCGTTTCGAGTATTTGGCTGCTAGAAATTGCCACTTGCTAAGCCACTTCGCTGAGCTATCATTTGTGGCCAGATCGCTTCTGAAAAGTAGCTATATCGCTCAGTGGGCCTTACCTGGTAAAATAGAAAAAAGTTTAGTTTAGAATGAACGCTATGAGATTATTATATATTTAAATGACGTGATGACAGAGAAACACACTTGCGTTAATCTGCAAAATAAAAAAATATATATGTTTGGCTTCCATCCCTAACCGCAGTGGGATTGACAAATAAGAAACAAGCTCCAGCATGAGGCCGATAACATTTTATCACATGTTCCGTGATCGCCCCTATTTATAAGCTTAACTCCCCCCCCCCCCCCCCCCCATTAACGTCAAACATTACTGCGTATGGCTAACAACAACAAAAACAAAACCTCTCCAAATATATGTAGATTTATTTTAATAATTCCTGGGCAAATAATAATTGTTGTTATTATATAGCCAGTTAAACTTGCCACCAATTCAGGAACATAGTGCATTGGTAATGCAGCGGAGTAACTCAAATCCATTACTCTGGATTGAAAAGGAATTAATATATAACAGTCGGCGTTTTGGACATTAACCAAAACGTTCAGCATCTAAAAGAGCGCCCATGTTAAATGCTCTTCACTCAGTCAAGTCGAATCACCGTTCACAGGCGATACACGCAAATCGCGACTTGTGCTGCAAAGCCCTAGGAGATGACGACAGAATGAGCCCATCGATCGGCGTGATGTCCGACCTTTGGCTCCGAAGTGCGAGGATCCTCTTCCCGAATCGAAGGCGAAATGACGATGATCTCGAAGCTCCACATCACGTGGAGGCAAAGCTTTGGACATCGTGCAGAACTACGCCCGTGGTGGCGCACATCCCCCCCCCCCCCCAAAAAAAACACACCAGAGAGCCGTACCGCACAACCGCGGGGGGGGGGGGGGAAACCCCCCTACGTGGGATTCGGTGCAGGCTGGCTCAGTGGCGAATCAGCCGGAGCGCTAAGCCACCCGGCCGCAGTGCTTTGATGAAACCTCTTCCCGCGGAGCAATAAGCAAGTCGGGAATGTGCACTTGATTCTCTCCCGACGTATTTTATTCAAGGCCACGTTCGAGCGTCCCCCCTTCACGAGTCCTGTGGGGCCAAAAGAGCCGAGGCCCGACGCCGCCTTGTTCTGCCCAAGATCTAATTTCCGAACGGGACGATACCAGGTGGTCGGTCACACACACAGCGTGGAGCCCAGCCGATGCATGTTCTGCTCCGCGCGTTAGGGCTGCCTTGACTCTCTGGGGCGATGACAGCCATTGTTGTGACCTTTCGGATCCAGTTACGGGGCAGAGGCACAGCGGAGTGGTGCCGCTTTTGGGTAAGAGGCGCAACGAGGTGGGTGGGTGAGTTTTAGTTGAAGATGGAGAGGGGCGCGCGCGCGCGCGCTCATCAGTGGGTGGGGGTGGACTTTTGGTTTTCGCTATCTGCCGCTTGACAGCAGATATGTTCCAGATGGGTGACTGCTGTGGAACCCTCCAGACTTCGGAGGGGGAATATTATCTCCTCGACCTTTTAAGATTTCAGCGGGCCCCCCCCCCCCCCCCCCACCTGCCCGCACGTGTGGTTTCATGCAGGTTTGCTAGAGCGAGCTGGTATGCACGCATGGATTTCTATTCACAGTCGTCGTCAGCATCACGATTTCCATTCACCTTTAATTTGTGTGTGTGTGTGTTTTTTTGTACTCCCATGAAATGTGATTCGTAATGAGGGGAGCAAGTGCGCATACTTCCCCCACCGCTGGGGCATTAGGTTACTTTTTTCAAAATTGAGAAACATATAATAAGTGACGTATTATGAAGTGGAATGTTGTGCTTTAAAACACATGGGGCTAGCATACCGTAGAACGTAGCTCTATTCACTTTGGTAAGCGTTTTCTTTTTTTTTTACAATGCCAAATACCAGACCTCGAATACACTGATACTCATTCTTGTTCAAAAACTGTATAAACCATGTGTTTAGCCCTTTTGTCAATCCACTGCTGGACATCTGCCTCCCTCCCTCCCCACAAAGTGTTAGTCACGAGAGGGGAGGCGGGGGGAAGTTGCTCGACCATACTTCACCATTGCCGGTTCAATGCTAGTTGGTGATTGGTTAGCAGCTGTTGCAGCTGGGAATCGAACTCAGGTGGCTGGACTCAATAACCACTTGAATTGCAACCGCCGTGGCTTTACTGCTCCCTCGTGCACTTCGCGCGTTGTTACCTCCACGTGTAGAGGACCTCGGTCTCCCAGGCACTGACTCATCTCATCCGCGCTTTGTTCAACCACCATCACCACAAAGCAGATCACAACAACAAAGACAAAGATTCCCCGGCCCCCCCCCCCCCCGTATAGCCTTAACAGACCGTCGAGGCAAGTGCCGTTAGCGAGCACCTTTGAATGGCGGGCACGGCACACGAGGGCGGTGAGTGGCCAGCAACCACGCCCGACCGCCTTTGTCTCCCCGGTGGCGATGTTCTACACACCGCACCAGGCGCATACTCATTTGAGGCTGAGTCGACCCAGGGGAGGCCCACAACCGGTTCAGATAATCGTCATCGGGTGGTGGCCGTGAGCGGGAATCGAATCGGGGGTCGCCGGGTTCGTATGGCGGTGCGCTAACCACTGCGCCACCGCTCAACCCACTCACCGCACTGCAGGTCCCAACACATATCTCCGCTTCTTCCCCAGCACGGCCCGACTTTGGAATTCCCTCCATTCGTCTCTTTTCCTAAGTCCCTATACAATAACAACTCACGATCCGTACTAAAGTCTTAGCCGTTGCAACTTTACGCTTACAACGTTTAACTGGACGGAGGACGGGTAAGGCGGAGTGGTTGGAGAGAAATGTCCTACGAACCCGAGTCCCTATGAGTTCGATTCCCGGCCACAGCCAACGACAGCGGCGAGTGCTCTCTGAACCAGTTCTTGTCTCCCCCCCCCCACGCCCCACCCGCTCCTTCCCATCACAAACTCGCATTGACCAGAGTGGTGAAGTATATTCTATCACACCCCCCCCCACCCCCTGCCCATGGCTACCACAGCCTTCATCCAGCAGTGGATTATAAGTCGCACTTTTCCCCTCCACTATTTGACGGCAAACGTTGAGAGTGCGTCTTATATTCCGGTGAGTGTGCGTGGTGTCTGAAACTATATATGCATAACTCTATGGCCGCGTCTTACTTTCCGGTGCGTCATGGGATGCAATCATAATAATACACACACACACATAGGAAGATGCTCCATAATGAGCCCCAGGATTACGTCTGCGCGACATTTTCCGTCGCCTTCAATCAACCGAAAGCAAATCCGCAAGGTACTCACGTGAAGAATTCGCATCGCTTGTTCTCCCCCAGTGGTATACGTGTCATCAAAAGACACGCGACAGGGTTTGTAAACTCTTCGTAAAAAACAGACTCCGCTCAGGATTCGCAGCCTACTTTATGTAATCTACAGGTATCTCTCCCTCTCTCTCTCCGTGCGTCTCGCTCTGCAGAGATGGTCTGGACTGTTAGCAGCCAGGCTCGTTGCCGCTGGCTACAGGAGTTGAAGTCGCGGTCGGTGAGTGGATGGGTTGAGTGAGTGAGTGGATGTGCAGGTTTTTTGATAAATCCGCCTGGGCCGCGTTGCTGCCGAGTGTGGTTTTTTTTCTTCCAACTTTTGTTATTGCAGTGGCACAGGGCGTGCCATAGCAGCGGCAGCCCAACCCGCGCTTCGCCCCAGTGACGATTTGCAGACGCTGCGCCCACAGCCTCTGCTCGGCACGGCCACAGACGCACGGCCACAGAGGGGGGGTGGTGGTGCTCTGAGGCCAGTCTGCTCATGCACGAAACAGCTCCACCCAAATCCACCGCGCTGTGTCCCTCCACACACGCACGCGCGTGAGCGTTGGTCTGTGTGTGTGTCTGTGTGAGTGACGCACGTGCCGGTAGAGGCGCAGCCCCGCATGCTTCCTCGCGCCACTGTACGACGGAAGATCCTCCCAGCTAGAGCAGCGGTCCTTCGCCTTGACTGCAACCTTGCACCGCTTTGTCTTTCGATCGTTAAAACTGTGTATAATGTTAATACATGCCTGGGGTTTTGCGAAACAAAGTAAGCATCACTTACGTGACCGCGCTTAATTTGTTATTCGATTATTTACCTTTTTAAAAAATAATCCGTCCATGTCTCGCACCCCCCAGAAAGGGCATTTCGCACCCCTTGGTTAAGAACCACTGCACTAGTGGCAGCATAAGAGAGCTCCTGTAGATGGTTTGTTTTTAAAAAAAAAAAATGTTCTCCCCGCTCTTGGACGCGGTGGGCACACGCACATTTTAACCCCCACCACACGTGACCGCCCAATCGTCTGACTGTGGCGTTGCTCATCAATACTGCTCGGTGCACAGAGGCGGAGGCATTCGAGAAAGTTTCCCCATTGCTTCAAGTGCCGCTCTCGTGCAGAGCGGGACAGCCCCGAAGCCACCTATAATAACCTGCTCATTTGTTGTCATTGCACGGTGGCCACTCATCCGAGGGCTATTATGCAGGCTCAAAACCCTGCTTAGCTGCTGAGATCTGGCGAGATCGGGCGCTTTGCGGGTAATGTGGTTGTAGGCTACGTGCGTTCGTAATACACACGAACACTTCCAAGCAAGACTCAACACACAAGCAAAAACCAAACCACAAACACACACACAAAGGGCTTGTACGCAGGTCACCAGATCATCGGAACATTACAGATCTGTGTTGCTGGTCAACATACCGTCAGCAAGCAAAAAAGCCACCAATTAATAAGGGCGTCACTGGGCAGGAGTAATGAGGCATAGAGGGTACAGGCATGATGAGACTTGCCCACTGATGATCATTATGATGATACGTCTTGCTCCGGTAGAGACCAGTGCACAGAAAAACCAAACCACTCACTCACTCGCTCTAATACTCCACCCAACTCCTGCCGCCAACAGCGGCAGCAGCAGTCCCAACTCCACCTTAGGGCCGGCAAGTACGGACCGGGATGGCTCCTGTCCTCCTATGGTAGGGACCCGGGTTTGGGCCAACACCACCACCACAAAAAAAAAACACAAATCCAAAGTGTCCCGCAAAAAATATTACTCAACTCCGGTTTAGTATTTTTTTTCAACTTTCTTAATGCCTTTAAATGATTGCCTTTGCCAGGTGTGACCACAGGATAGAACTTGAGAGGACATGCTGGGAATTCACCACATCCACTTAAATTAAATGAATCATTGATGTGTTGTCGCTGGGGTGCTCTTTAATTCGAAAAAACTCACAACCGTTGTAGCGCAGTGGCGTGCGCGTGCTGGAAGCGATGACCTCGAAGGTTGACCCTTAGCCATGCCCTCGCAATGCCGACGCTATCAGTTGACCGCTCGGTCAGTTTGCCTTACCCATGGATGTTTATAACCAAATGCTTTTTTCTTCCTTCGCAATTATGTTCAGCATACTGCTGATTTACGCGAAAAAACTTTGCGTAAATATTGACTGAATGTCCTACGTAAGGATCGATCGTTCCCTGCAGTATGTGAATGCAGTGACCGGCGTTCAATTGCCAGCCACAGCTTGCATCAGCGGCAAATTATATTTAAACCGGAGGTCAAACAACCCCCCCATGACCGGACACGTTCCGACTTCAGGGTGCCTTCATCCAGCAATGGATTGACAAAGTGGACTGTAAATTACGTTTCCGCATTTAAATCACAACATCACTGAACTCCGGTCATCCTCGCAGCGTCTTTTGCCTGGCCATCAGACAAAGACGGCCACTGCATCGCGCGCTTTCGGATCCGCTTCTGTGGCCGTCTGGAACGCTCTTCCTTCCGATATTAGGAAGCCACTGGGAGCTACGCACTATTTAAATCTTGATTTTAAAACAACATTTTTTTTAAGAACTGCTTTTTGTGTTTAGTTTGTTGTCCTTCCCCGCACCTCCGATTCGCACGGTTGGTTACTTACGGTGCGAAAGAAGTGCACTTGACATACATAAACCGGATATTTTCTTCGATGCAGAAACACGTTCAATTTCTACAAATCACGTGTCTGCCCAGTTCACAAAGAACAATGGAGGAACCCTTTGCCTCTCCGCTCATGAAGTAGAGGGGGGTGGGGGGGGGATATCAGTACAATGTTTTTGAATAAAGCAAAAACCTAAAATAATTATTGACCACGTTTTGGCAAAAAGAGTTTAGTGAACACACACTAACTCTGCGGCGCCTAACCTCATAAGCGAATCTGGAAATCAAAGTGGAATCCTGAAAGAGCCGCACGAAGTCGCTTGAGAAGTCGAGCAGGTCCAGTCATGGGGTACAGAGAAGGGGATGAGATGCCAGGACATACTGTGGTCAACATGAAAGGCCAGCCAAAGTCTGCAGGATAACCACCCGCTTTCAAACATGTTATTGCCTATAAACGCTTTGTTTTGGAAGATAGTTGCAGGCAACTAAGGCGTGTCGTGTCAGTCCTACAGGTCACGGGCTTTATATTTTATTCGCAGTGATTGTGTTTTATTCGACATCATTATGAGGTCTGCAAGTGACATTGTGAACACGTTGTTGTTGTGACTTACAACGTTGTTTTTGTCTCCTGATCATACAGGTGTTAGTCTCTCGTTTCTGCCTATGCATTTTGTTTGGGGACAAATCGTCCAGTGATGTCACGTGCAGCGTGTCCATAACGTCGAGAACTAATGGAACGTACCGATGGAAGGATCAGCTGCCAATATTCTCCGAGACAATATTTGTCGCAATGTGGTTACTCGGTCTCTCGACCCAGATTTCGCCAGTCACAAAATGTATACCGTGCAATGAGTGTAACCATTAGACAGAATCAGAATATTTATTTATACTGGAAGAATCCGACGGGCGAAAAAGCTCTTTTTCACACAGATACCCAGTCGGGGTAGGTCAGACAACGGGCATTGGGGCCCAAAAGCAAAAAAGTGCTCAATTCTGAACACTATCGTGGGATTCGTGGCCCAGACGTTTCCATCAGCAGCGCATAAACAGCCGAACGTTAACTACATTGCGCTCGTAAAACGAGCACGCAAGGCCACGTTTTTCCCAATCTGAATGCTGGCCGATTGCTATCAGATAATTCGTTACAAAGGCGTCCACTTTTAACTGCTGCATACCACTGCAGTGGGCGAAGGAACCGCCAGGTAAACGAACGAACTCACCCTCACGGCTAGGCTCTTCTAAACTATTTGTCCGTAAAAAAAAAGTAACGTGAGCAAGCTACGAGGCAGACTTTGCATAATTGTCTACAGCCTATCTTGGCCTGTGATCTAAGCGAAGTCGAGGGTAGAGTGTGCCCAACGGTGCATTTTTCTTGTTGTTTTAACAACGCCGTGTTAATATTCTCGGTCCAGAGAAATGGTTGGCTAAGGCCATATAATCCTGCCTCTGGGCTCAGTGCCAGGCTGGACTGAAAATTGGATAATTCCAAGACTCTTTTGCAAACTGGGCCCCGGAGAGAATTGGACGGACGGGGCCAGGCTATGCGTTTCACTCGATCGGTTTATTCGTCGTGGGTTATTTGTGCTCGAATACACAATAACGATGTGTATGCGTGACAATGAGACACGCGCGCGTGCACACACACACCACGCAAAAGCAGCATGCTAAAGTCTGCCGCATATTATGATGCCTCCAAATCAAATTATTACGATTGCATCTGATCTTATCAGGTCGAAGAAGCGAAGTAGTGATGAGCCTAAGCCTCGTGACCACTTAGATAGGGTGACTGCCTGAGAATGCCGGGTTTTGCTTTCGTAGGTAAGGCTTGGGCAGTAAGATGGCCAGGAAATGGTAGTACAGAGATGGATGCTTAAACCTATCTGTGCGGTGCTTTGAGCATTACCTCCTTCGGGCACTCCGGTTTCCTAACCATCTCCAAAACATTCGTTTTAGATGATTTGCAGGACCGTCCTAAACACCAACATTTATTTTAAAATACGGGGGGAGTGTGGGGGGGGCGTCTTATAATCCAGAGAATACGGTAATATCCAACAGCATGCATAGTCGATATGTAGTCGTGTGGGACAGCTCACTATCTAGTCACTGACTTCTGAAAAAACATAGAAGCAGACTAAAGCTATGCCAAATCAATAGGTAAATACATACAACTAAGTGTTTATCAGCTTGGGCCAGGGGGTAAATATTGACCGAAGTAGTGGAATGAGAAAACACCAGCACAGATCAATATATACCTGCCGCTGCAGTGCATACACCCTTTACTTAGGAAAAGGTTTGTTTTTTTAAATCAATTAAGGATAGTAGGTTACACATGAAAACATATTTTGGACCTTTTAAATCAACTGCGGAATTATTGTTGAATTATAGACTGTTGGGGCAAGCTTTGGAAGCGAGCACCAATAAAGGCTGGCAGGGCACTTTAGCGGTTGGTGTGGCCAGAACCACGTCCGGGCTGCATTGGTCTGCCTTGTGTCGATGTTTACAAAGCACCAGGTACTCGATGAAGACTGAGTCGACCTAGGGGAGGCCCAAAAATATTTGAAGTTCGTCATCGATGTTGGTCTTGAGCTGGAATCGAACTCGGGTGGCGGTGTGCTAATCACTCCCCTACGTTTTCCTACTTAAATCACGCACACAGACAAGAAACCCCTGCATAGCCCTAACAGACTTTTGGGGAAAGTGCTGCTCACGAGCTTCTATGAAGGCCAGTAATGCACAAATTTTCTTGTTGTGGTTTTCACACCTGATGATGATTGCTTTTTTTGCAGTCGAAACGTCGTGAGAATTTTATTGTTTTATATTTTTATCATTTTATTGTTTCCCTTCTACGTGACTTTACCCAAAGAACCAAGAATACAGTAGTCACAAGTCAGAAGAACTTAGGGGCTTACTTATTTTCGACAGCTCAAAAAATCAGTATTCGGACACGTTCGAACGAGAAGAATTACATTTTGTGCTTCCAACCGAGTTCACGGCAGCTCTTCTCTTAAGCACGGCAACGGCCTCGAGTCAGCCAAGTACCCATGACAGAAAGCCATTCTGCTGAGTGATTAACGCTGCGTAGTGGAACATAAAAAAGCCAAGGCAAGCACGTGCATGCAGGCGCCGCGGTGGCCAGACGGTTAACTCCCTCGCCTCGTATGCAGGAGGTCGTTGTATTGCGCATTTGGAGTTTGCACGTTCTCCCCAATGGTGCGTGTATTTACCTCCGAGTCTTCCGGTTTTCGCCTCCACGTTCAGAAGCAACGTGCGTTTAGTGTATCTGGCTGCTATAAATGTACACGTGATTATAAGCCACTTAATTGAGCTATGATTTGTGGCCATGTCGCGTCTGAAAAAAGAGCTATATAGCTCAATGGGCCTTACCTGGTAAAATAAAATAAAAAGTTTAATGGAATGTGCTGTGGGTGTTTCCCCTAAGAGAGTCTTAAAAGGCAAGGGTGCAGCCCTGAAATGACTTGTTCACCCCACTGCCGGCAGAACGGCCTTCACACTGGACTTGGAATCCAGAGGCCGCCGTTTCTACTTGATCTCCTGCCACGAGCGGTGGAAACAATGGGCAACTTTCTCCCACCGACTTCAAGACGGCTGGCGAGCGTGGAAGAGTAGGCCAAATTAACGTTTAGGAGGGACTCGAGAGCTCTCCCTTAGTAGAGGACCTTTCTGCCAGCAGTGGTACGAGCGAGCAATTTGCAGTGGCACACTTTTACCTTTCATCACAGAATATAGTGTGACAGTAAGTTACCAAACTTCAATTAGGGGCTGGTCCGTTGCATCCAATGACAGCTTACAATCGCAAACAACCAACTCGTTTCCAGCAATGAAAATGAATGCTGTAAGCCTATTACAATAAACTGTATATATTTATTACACGAGTGTTCCATAAGTGGCTGGAGGTGGCGACTCCAGACAAAGACAAGGCACTCCAGGTGCGACCTCCGTTCCCTAACCTCCCGATTGTTTTGCAATAACGCCGAGGCCCTCGAAAGCTTTCAGCCGGCTGTGTGAAGGGTCAGCTGGGTCCTGTAGCGTGGCCCCCTCAGGGGCATCTGTTATTCTGTGGCACTGCCTCCCGGTCACTCACTGCTCATGCTCAAGCACCTGTGAGCTGAAGTGTGAGCGCCTGGGGCCGGTCAAGCAAGACTACAGAGTTAAACAAACAAATAAATACATGGCAATTTAACGAAATGGTTTCCTCCCTCCAATGTCTTTTCGGGATTATGCCGCTTGCTGGGAGCTTCTTCAGGAACTGGATAAGCTCATCGGGATAAGTTCCTCCGATATCACGCCAGACGACGCGCAGCAAAACTCTGAAAACACGTCGGACAGTGATGCAGCGCAATCGCGAAAAAAAAAGCCCGTGCCAACTTTTTTTAAATTTCTCTGGCAAGCAAACTACAAATCGCCTCAACAATACAGAAAGACCCTGCTTGGATCGCCAGCGTGTGGAGTGATTTGTTCTTTTTTTTTGTTTAGTTTTTGCGCCGGAAGTGTTCTTTATTATGAAAAAGGAACGGTGACCCCTTTTCCCCAATTTTTATCTCGTGCCTCATCTGGTGTTGACATTAAAGCAAAACATCTGAGAATTCCACGCTCTGTCAGCAGTTTCCCTTTGGAACGGTCAGGGCACCAGACAGCAGGCAGCAGATACAGATACCAATCAGCTGTAAAGGCGCAACGCTTGACTGCTGAACTGCCGCACAACATTTATTTTGTTTGGACAAGCTTTCGAAAAACGTTAGAAATTGTGCAGCGATTTGTACAATGGAAAGCCCTGGATAAAATATTAATATTTTGAAAATAGCGGTACCAA